TCTCTCTCTCTCTCTCTCTCTCTCTCTCTCTCTCTCTCTCTCTCTCTCTCTCTCTTTAGAAATAAATCTATCTATCTATCTCAAAGCTCGACACTGTGAATTTCGTTTCTCTTAATTGATCATGTGTGTCTTGTAGTGTCATCGCAATCATGGTTTCTATTCAAATTCCTCGAATCTGGATACACCAAGCTCACCGAATTCGGCGACCGCTCCTGGCAGCCCTAGCACACCTTGCAGCTTCACGTCAGATCCCTACAGCTATTCGTCTACTGCCAGTAACTGTACAAACACACCATCTTCGCCCACTAGCCGACCGTCGTTCCAATATCCCAGTACTTCGTCATCGTCCACTGATTCATCATACTACGGTCGCCCGATACGAGGTTGCTCCACGCCGTACAGGTAAAGTGAGAAACCGTGAAATAGCAACAATGCATCGCAAAAATACTTGAGAAATGTATTCTGAGTTGTAAATTAAAAAGAAAAAAAAAATATTTCTCAGTGGAGAACATTTTGAATACGTTTTACATATAAATATACGCGGTGCAGTGCAAATGCGCGCGACTCGCAACATTTCTCGACTACGAGTAACGATTCTCGGTACTGTACAGCGATTGCGGCAGCCCTACATTGGAATTCTCTCATCTTTTGGGATGCAACGGCTCGCGTTCCAATTCACCGGCCGACTCGGAAACAAGCGGTGTTGGTAGCGCAGACGGTTCCTTGTCCGACATAATAATGGTAGGTGTTGCTCTTTCCCACGAAAATGTTCTCTCTTTACTTTCTTCCTTTGTTACCTGAGCTAGCGCGTCACGCGTCGTTTCTAATGTTACCGAAAATACTTATTCGCAGAACTGTTTGTCGCTGAATTCCTCGTCGAATTCTTGCTTTCCTCAATCCCTGGACTCCATAATATCGGGGAAGGCGAACGCGTGCCCGAGCAATCGGACGGCGTTCGAGCGTATGGCTGTGAAAAAGTATTTGTCATCGTTACAGCAGAATCCAACAAATCCGCATTATTATCAACACCATCATGGACTCGGGCAGACTCGCAGCAATTTTCTGAATTCTCTCTTGAATTATGAGAAAAATTGCTGTTCCGGTCTTGGTAGTACCACACGTAGGTTGGCTCAACCGGTCTCGCTCGATCGGGTAGCGCGTTCCCATCGAAATGCCGCTGGTACGTATTGACATCTACAATCAAAAATCTACAAGATAAGTCTACAGAAAAAATAATTGTTAAGTCCTCAAGGACTTAGAGTGGCTTTCACTTGCGTTAAAATATTAATTGCACGTTGATCCCTCATGGTATTGAGATAATTTTCAAAGGATTTGCGTGCGATATATTCTGACTTACTTATTTCTCAGCACATTGTTATCCGACGTGCACATGGAGCGGTTTTCTTCCACAAAGCACCGACGAGCCAGTCGCTTATTCCCCTAAGGTATTTCTGGGTGGTGTACCATGGGATGTTACAGAAGCGATTCTGATTTCGACGTTCAAACAATTTGGATCGGTTCGTGTTGAATGGCCACCGAAAGCGCCGTCTGCTCAGCCAAAAGGATACGCGTATATCATATTCGAGTCAGAGAAACAGGTACTAGATCGTATAGTTAAGTTTGTTCAATCCTTGATTCATATTTAGCGCATTCAGCTTACGAAACTTATATCAATTATGTATTTCTCAGGTCAGGGCAATGTTATCCTGTTGCACTCATGATATCACCAACGGCAAGAGATGGTACTACAAAATTATATCAAAGCGTTCAAAACCGAAAGATGTATGTTAACGTTGCACGTATACTTGAAAGCATTATCAAGACTGGATTGTCGTAATTTTTACTCTTAATTGTATTAACTTTTCAGGTACAAGTGATTCCGTGGATCTTAGAGAATAGCAATTACGTCAAATCTTCATCGCAAAGACTCGATGTACATAAAACTGTGTTTGTCGGAGCGTTACATGGAACGCTAACGGCCGTAGGATTAGCGAAAGTCATGGATGATCTTTTTCATGGAGTCATTTATGCAGGTAATTTTCACCATTCGCGTAACTACTTCTATTTGCATGATTGCTTTAAATTTGTTACTTAAAAGTTAACAATAATATGCTATTTTAGGTATCGACACGGACAAGTATAAATATCCGATAGGATCCGGTCGTGTCACGTTCAGCACGAAGCAATCATATTTCAAAGCGATCACTGCTTCATTTATTGAAATCAAGACTGACAAATTTACGAAGAAGGTTGTATTATATATATTTATACATAC